ATAATTTGTTCGAAGTTTAGCAAATTTTTGCTCAATTTCAATTTTCAAGTAGGCTTTTCTATTTCTTGCCTGATTAGAGAGGGAGAAGACCTTCTCATTATTGTGATATGATGTAATGTTTATGATCTCCCTCCATCCCTAATAACTTTGTCAAGTTTGACCGGCACGAGGATTAATAAAGTAAAAATTGTGTGATTGAGGTTTGTGCAGAGGAGAGGGAATTAACTGGCACCACGAATTCTTTACTTAAAAGGGAAAGTGACAAAGTTAATGGGACATTCAAAAAAGAAAAGTTGGAAAAGTTATAAGGGACGGAGGGAGTATTTAATACTCTGTAAGATCTGAGGTTCCATCCTAAAAGGTCAACCTGATAGGAGGGACCAAACACACCCTTAACAAGCTACCATTCATCATGATTGCTAAACAAGCAGTCAAATCACAACTGAACCTGACTCTAGTACCATGTTAAGATCTAGAGTTCCATCATAAAAGGTCAACCGATAGGAGTAGTCCAAACCTTATATAGTGCTTTATTATTTTATAACTTTCCGGTGTGAAACAAATAATTTAACAATTTCTATTACATTAATATAAAATATTTTACTTTAAAAAAACATGAAGGAAAAAATTAATAAACTAAACCATTGTACGACTTAGAGCATCTCCAATGCTAAAACGTTAACGGTGCATACGTGGCATGAGAAATAACCAATTAAAAATAAATAAATACAATATCTCTCTCATTCTTTCCACGGTCTTATGTGTTTATGGTAAGTTTTTGTCTGCAATGTCAATCACAATGTCTACATCTAGACATTGTGCTTGACATTGTGAAGAAAAACTTACCAAAATGATGTAAGATCCTTCAAATAAGGAGAGAGATATTGTATTTATTGTTTTTTAATTGGTTATTTTCCATGCCACGTATACACCGTTAACGTTTTAACATTGGAGATGCTCTTATAATACTACCTCCGTCCCATATTGGTTGTCCACTTTCAATTTGGCACGCTTATTAAGAAAGTGGTTGAAAAGAAAAAGTTGTAGTTGCAATTTGAGTAGAATAAAATGAAATGATAAGCTCCACATATTTCTTGCCAAAAAAAGAAATAAGACATTCATTTTAGGATAACCCAAAAAAGAAAGTAGGACACCAAAATGGGAGGAAGAGAGTATATAGTCACAATTTCACAGAATTTGATGAATAATTTTTTTAAAGTAACATCACCTTAAACTTCTTCTCCGTATTGTTTTGTCTCTTCCATGCTCGCTATTCCGCCCGTGAATGCAGTCCACCACCTAAGATCCCGTGAGTGATCCGCTCTTTTTCCTCATCTTACAATTTTAATTTATTTATTTATTCATCCATCATTGTCTTGACAGAACTATTGGATTTTTTTGACAAAGAACTGAAAGAATTACTCCATCTTCCCTAAATTTACTTCCATTTCACTTTTTGAGAGTCAACTTAAATCACTCTTAAATTCTTACTTTTTGTATCAAAACTTTATGAAAATTGATTTTTTTTGCAGGCTTTGTAGCGGGTTTAATGTAGTTTCTGAATATGTAAATTTTATTTACTAAAAATAATCCGAGTTTTCACAGGGATCATTTAACTTTATCGTCGGTCAACCTTCGTAATCCACAATTGGAACAACATTCAGGACGGAGGGAGTATTAGTTTTTTTTACAAAGAACTATTGGAGTGTATAAGTGTACAACCGTATACTATTCCATCCTAAATTTCCTTTCAAATTTCTTTTTTGTGCCTTTCAAATTAATTTTTATTTTCGTTATGGCAAAGAATTTCTGGTTTACAATAATTTTTGTATTTATTTTTTCTTTAAACAAATCTCCACTACACAATACCTAATGTCCTAATCCTTCTACCAAATGTACTTTGGAAATAATGTAGGGATGAAGAGGGGTATTAATTTTGTCGCATTTAATTCTGTTTTAGTAGAATTATGACCCTAAACTTTTTTTGGGGCGGAAATACCTTTAAGAATCAAGTTTTTTGTCAATTCATGCCCTTCCAATCACGGTGCCGTTAAATTAACCGTACATGTTGACGTAGGTAATGGAGTAAAAGATTATAACAACATTAAAGATGAGCAGCTTGTTTTCTTAAACAAAAAGGAGGTGTTCCATTTTTCCATCGTCCCCGAAGCCAGAAAGGTTTATTACCCTTTGTTGCTTTTCATTTTAGATGCACATTATAAGGTCCGACCATGAGTTGATGACTCGACATATTAATCAATTTTTTTCATCAAATACGTAATTTTAAAACTCCATACTAAATTCAGAGTCGGTGATAGAGCAAGTTAGGCAAGGCATTTGCCTAGAGCCTCAAATTTTATGGGGCCTCAAAAAAATATTTATTATTATTTGGTAAATGAAAATGGATTGCAAGACTTCTGCCACTCCCCATAATTGGCAAATGTTTATAGGTAGATTCTATGATACACATAAGGTACCATACCTTTGTCCACATGGACCAATGAGAATGTAGCAGTTGAATTATTTAAATCTAAATTAAAAATGATAAAGTGATGTGGTTCAATCAAATGAATGATAGGTACGATACCTCATATTTTAGAAAGGTACCAGAATTGTCACATGTTTATAATCTACCGCTTGTAGGTTATAGATAGTACTACTCCGTACTTCATATTAATTCGTATGGGTAATGCAGACCAATTCATATACTTCAGCAATTTCGTACTTCTTAGTTTACTTTATGACTTTTCGTGATTAGTTAACTTTGTGATTGTAAAATTTTAATTTATATGCACTTTTTTTGTTAATAAGAAATGTCTTTTTCCGTAATATATATGAACAGGGACGGATCCAGGATTTCGAGTCAAGGGGGGCGAAATTTTTTCATTAGTGTAGGGAGTGAAAAATTTTCGATAGTAAGCGGAACGGGAAAAAAATTGCTAGTGTAGCGGGACAAATTTTTTCGCTAGTGTAGGACTCTGTGGCTAATTTTTATTTAAAAAGTTCCATTAGTACATACTACATACACGATGACAATCAGGGACGGATCCAGGATTTCAAGTCAAGGGGGCGAAATTTTTTCATTAGTGTAGGGAGTGAAAAAATTTCGCTAGTAAGCGGAACGGGAAAAAAAATCGCTAGTGTAGTGGGGCGAATTTTTTCGCTAGTGTAGGACTCTGTGGCTAATTTTTATTTAAAAAGTTCCATTAGTACATACTACATACATGATGACAATTAAATCTATTATATTCTAATTCTAATTTTAGACAATGAAAAGATAACTTTGATTTAATAACTATAAGTGCTCCAGAAAAAATATTGATACATTAAAGCTTAAGAAATGACAAATTAAAGGAAAATTATTTGAAAATAAGAAAGGATATGATATACGTAGTATAACTGATGGAGTATATGGCCCGGGAACCCCCGGCCCAAAGACTCCCACTCCTGCACAGGCCCAATGAGCCCAATATTCGTCAAGAAGCCCACGATACACGTGGGGGTGCCTTCGGCCTCCTTGGCCGAGGGGTCCAAATTACACAGGGCAGCCAGATTTCAGCATACGAAGCTACTGGGAGAAAATGACGGAAAACAGGAGCCTTCGGCACATGGGAAGCCTTCGGCTGAACCAAGCCTTCGGGTACACAGACCCCTCGGCAGCAGGGAGAGCCTTCAGCCAACAGCTCAATCATCGAAGATTCTCTTTGGAGACAAGCAACTACCGCATTTAATGCGGCGTCACATCCACCCACCGCATTCAATGCGATGCACATGCAATTGGCAGTGCCACCCGATTGAGGTGACCCCTCGGCCGTTAGATTATCGCCACATGTACTCTCATCGCATTTATTGCTGCTATAAATAGCAGCCCTTATTCTCCTTGTAAGGCATGCTGAGTTCATTTACTTGCTCTGACTTCTCTCTAGTTATTCCTGCAATAACCCCCCGGATAAGCTACCCCCCGGGTACACTGTCCATCAATAACATTTTATGATATTATTTGAAGGTAAAGTGGTTAAAGTTAAAGGTACACATCAACCAATGCTTTTAAAGTAACTTATGTCTTGTTTAACCACATGAATCTTAACAGGATAAAGAATTGGTTTTTGAATTGAGATTTTTGTCTACCAAGAAGGGTATTTGTGGGTCATGATGAGTTTTCTTAATATTACAATAGTATGTATGAGATTATTATACTTGGAATAATATGATACGTAGTAATGTTAATTCATATAATATGGTGCATATTATATTTGTATTAATGCTAAAATAAGTTAAAGTATTATCTATTCAACAAATTGTTTTTAGAAAGTAAGAGGTAAATGAAATGTGTAATTTAATTTCAACAAACATTTATACTATTTAACTACTGTATCTGATATTCAATATCTTTTGATATCTTACAAAATCGAGTACTAATTATCTAATAAAGATAATTAAACATTACAAAACTAAGAATTTTTTGGTACCCTAAGTCTTAAACAACGAGTTCTATTGTTTATTTGTTTAAGTTATGTAAATTATTTTAGATTCTACTTCTTTTAATCTCCAATTAAGCACTGCATTATGTGAGCCTAAATATTAATTTTGAAAGCTAAAAGTTAAGGGGGGCGAAAACATATATACCTAATTAAAGTATAAAAATTTTATGAAAATATTATATATATATATATATATATATATATATATATATATATATATATATATATAGTAGAAAAAATTTGGAAGTCCAAGGGGGGCGGTCGCCCCCCGCGCCCCTCCTTGGATCTGTCCCTGTATATGAATATGTAGTATTAAACCCGTTTGGTGTCATTATTTTTCGACTTATAGTCTTATCTGCCATGTTTTTTTTACCAATCACGTAAGTTCTGATTTCACGTAAGTTCGAACCCTTATGTATACGAAAATATTATTTGGGAGAATAATGGCTTACCCTCTTGGGAGCCCTAAGTCTATATTTATGATTAATCAATGTTTAGGAAATTACATAATAAACCCACACTAATACATCATTACACCCCCTCAATCTGTGCAGAAGAAACAACGCGCAGTTTGGAACGTAAAAATTCAAAACGCTGACAAGATAAATTTTTAGTAAAGATATCAGCGAGCTGGAACTGTGTGGGAATGTATTTAACAGTAAGATCTCCATGAGCCACTCGTTCACGAACGAAATGATAGTCAATCTTGATGTGTTTGCTGCGGTCGTGCTGAATAGGATTAACCGTCAGGTAAGAAGCTGAGACATTGTCACAATGTAGCTGAACAGGAGCTGAAATTAGAATCCCCATATCCATGAGAAGAGACCGAACGAATAATGTATCCTGAACGGTGTAGGCAATAGCTCTGTATTCTGCTTCAGTGTAAGATCAGGAGACTGCTGGTTGTTTCTTGGATGATCCAAAGTTTATGGTTAAAGGGGTCGGTTCTTAGAATTTTATATTGCAGGGGCCAAAGTTTAAAATATCAACATACTTTCTACAGATTAAAAGTATTTATATATAATATATACTTAAGAATTTTTTTTCTTGCAGGGGCCGTGGCCACCTCCAGCCCCTCCCTGTCTCCACCCCTGCTTAAATCGCCATGAAATAAGATTTGTACCCAGAAAAACTGCATAACCAGTGGTGGATCAAGAACTATCTGGACAACCAGCCCAATCAGCATCTGAATAGGCCACAATAACCGAGATATTCTTATCTGACCGCATCCATAATCCATGTGTGGTAGTGCCCTGTAGATATCTGTAAATTCTCTTGACAGCTAATAAATGTGAGGTACGAGGAGCATGCATAAATTGAGAAACCAAATGAACAACATAAGTAATATCAGGTCTAGTAAGAGCACCTACCATGCTGCGATACTCAGTAGCATCAGATAAAAGCTCCCCATCTGTAAGAGAAAGTGTAGTACGAGAAGGCAAGGGTGTACGCACAGGCTTGACAGTGTGTAGATGAAAACGGCGTAATAAATCAGTGATGTATTTTTCCCGAGATAGAAACAACCCCTGAGGGGTACGACAAGCCTGAATACCCATAAAATAATGATTATCCCCTAAATCCTTCATCGCAAACTGATGAGATAAATTATTAATGACTGAGCGCACAAAGGAGACGGAAGACCCAGTAATCAAGATATCATCCACATAAAGAAGGATATAAACTATCTGAGAATGAGATCAGTAAATAAACATAGAAGAGTCTGACTTACTTTGACAGAACCCACGACTCAACAAGAAACCACTGAAACGATGAAACCATGTTCGAGGAGCCTGATTAAGGCCATACAATGCCTTGCGAAGGCGACACACATGATTGGGAAAAGAAGGGTGAATAAAGCCTTGCGGCTGACACATATATACCTCCTCCGTAAGATGACCGTGTAAGAAAGCATTTTTGACATCTAATTGACGGAAAGACAAACCCAAAGAAACCGCAACAGAAAGAACAAGACGAACATTCGTGGGTTTAACAACAGGACTGAAAGTTTCAGTAAAATCAATGTAGGCTTGTTGTTTAAACCCTTGAACAACAAGACGAGCCTTATGACGCTCAACAGACCCATCAGATCGGTATTTAGTCTTAAAAATCCACTTACATCCAACCACATTTTTAGTGCCATCCCAAGGTACTAAATCCCAAGTCTTATTATTGATTAATGCATTAAATTCATCAGCCATAACTGCCCGCCACACAATAGATTTATTTGCCTGTGTAAAAATGGTCTTAGGCTTAAAAATGTCATCTTTGGCCCGAGTACGCATGGGATGGACATTTACCGGTATAGGTGGAGAAGGGACTGCCAGGTCGGTTCTAGAGGTTGGTGGTGTTGTAGTTTCAGCCGTAGCCATGTGCTGGGAGTCTGCCGTAACTTGGTTATGATGGTGAGATGGAGAAGGGTGATTTGGTGAGCTACTGTGATGGGATGGTGTGGTAGGGGTACGTGGTGTGGACGCATCAGACCAATTTGAGAAGGTGGAATTTTGCATGGGTGAAGGCAGTGAGTTATGAGCAGTTGGTGAAGAGATTCTGGCAGCAGATGGAGTGGCTGAGGACGCAGGTAAGGGTAGGGGGGTATTCGGCCAGTCATGAATGGGAATAACGGGGGACAAGTTAGGAGAAAGAGATACTAGTAGGGGATAAGGAAAATCATTTTCAAAAAGTTGTACATCCCGACTAATATACACCCTACCAGAAAGATAGCGGTACCCTTTATAACCTGGAGCATAGCCCAGAAAAACACAAGGTATGGAGCGTGGTGAGAGCTTATTAGAAGAGGCAGCAATAAATTTTGGGAAACACGCACAACCAAACCAGGGGCGGATCTAGCTTTTGTGTTGAGGTGAGGCCAAATTTTAATTAGCGATACATAATTTATTTTGCAAAAAATGTTCAAATTACAAGATTTAGTTATATAATTTTACAGAAGTGTCAAAGAAAAAATAATAAATATAAAAAAACCGAAAATTTAATTATCTTAAAAAAGCCATAGATATCTAACCGAAATTGGCTCGCGTCGGTTAATGACGTGTTCAATACCAATTTTCAAATTGATTTCTGGAAATTCAATTTTCTTTTGACTCCATACTCTATGCTCTATGCAAAAAAAGTAAACTAATTAAATTTCACCTACCAAGCAGAATGAATTGAACTTATTAATTTTTCAAATCAATATTCAATTGTCCAATGATGTGAACTAATTAATTTTTTTGACTAATATTCGAAATTCTAATGAATCAAATTAAATAATTTTTTAAGGTAATATTCAAAAGCCAAATGATTTGAACTAATTTTGCATACCAGTTACCAAAAGCCCAACAATTTGGAAGGGTATCAAAAAATTTACTCATGTTGCATGAAAAATTATAAATATGGTGTCCAGGGGACTCGAACATGACTCCTTTTGTTGCATAATTAGTGTGCTTCCATTGGACCAACTTGACTAATGTTCACAAATTGACATTAGCTTTTTTATATCATGACTACTAAAACACTATATATTAATATATACATAGTATATATATACTAATAATTATAATTTTTTGAGCATGGGCCTAGGCCCACCCTGGCCATGGGCCAGATCCGCCCCTGAACCAAACACATGAAGAAAATTATAATCTGGAAGCTTATTAAATAATTTTTCATACGGTGTAACTCCACCTAAAACAGGTGTAGGTAAACGATTAATAATAAAAATAGCTGTGTAAAGTGCATCAACCCAAAATTGACCAGGAATAGAGGAATCAATCAACATAGTCCTGGTTAACTCAAGAAGATGTTTATGTTTGCGTTCAGCTACACCATTTTGAGCTGGAGTATCCGGACAAGATTTTCTAAATAAAATTCCAGATTTTAAAAAATGATGATGAAACGAGGAATTATCAAATTCACCACCCCCATCACTTTGAAATTTTATTATTTTGAGATTAAAAAGATTTTCAACAAGAGCCTAAAAATTACAAAAATGACTAAAAACTTCCGATTTTCGACGCATAGGATAAACCCAAGTATAATGAGAAAAATCATCAATAAAAGACACATAATATTTGAAACCTAAATTAGATAAAATAGGCGATTGCCAAACATCTGAATGAATGAGTTGTAAAGGAGCAATAGAGTCATGAGTAACATCTTTAAAAGGTAAACAGTGGGATTTCCCCACTTTACAAGAAACACAGTTGTTATTAAAAGAAGAACTAGAAATAAGTTTATTTTGCCTAAGACTACATAAAACTCGATCACCATAATGCCCCAGATGCTTGTGCCAGACTGGACCAGGAACAACTTGGGCTTGAAGGGCAGTGAAGGGGTAGACATGGTCTTTACTGGAGGCTTGAAGGAGGGTTTCCCCCATTTGATTGTCCTTAACAGAAAAAGAATTTTTGTTAAAAACCACTTGACAGGCATTATCCGCACACAATTTTTGAATAGATAATAAATTGTATTTAAGGTGTGGGACATGAAAAACAGAATTAAGATGTAGCGGGCGGCCATAAGTAATTAATTTAGCATTACCAATATGAGAAATAGGCAATTTAGTACCATTAGCAACACACACTTGTTGTGGACCAGAGTAAGAAATTTTATTAGAAAGAATATCTTCATTAGGAGTCATGTGAGCAGATGCCCCTGAGTCCGGATACCAAACATAATCATTATTTTCACCGGTGGGCAAAACAGCCAATGCAAGAGTATTTGAACTAGTGAGCCGAGGACACGACAGAGCTGAGTGACCTGGAGATAGAAAATCAAAGCTGACAAACCATTGGAGGAGGAGGTGACCGATAAGAATGATCCACAGATGGGAAACCTGCACTGACATTATGAGTAACACAAACAGGAAAGTAATCTATATGACAATAACCGGAACTAACATTACCATACGCCGAATATGAATTTCCCGAATGTGGTCCCCTCGGGTGAGCACTGGACTGGCCGTGACTATAAGTGTGATGTCCTCCAGGAGAGCCATGTAAACATGAGGTCCTCCATAGCCTGCTGGAGGCTGACCATAGCTACCATGTGGGAACGGGTGGTACTGTCCACCATGCCCTCGACCTCTGCTGCCACGAGGTCGATAGCCCCCGCGATTTCCACGCCCCCCATGCGATGCCGAGCTATTGCCAGGATGGCCTGAGTATCTGCCGCGAGAAGAAGAGCCACTCCCCTTTGCACCCCCTCGGCCAGATTGACCACTTGAGCCAGAAGAAGAGGCCGCAAAGGCCTGATGTGGTGGGGCGGATTCCTGAGACCGAAAGTGTAATATACGTTGCTCTTGAGCCAAAAGAATTGGACGAAGAGTATCCAAAGTGGTGTTACCCGGAAAATACGAGATAACAGTGACCAATGACTCATATTCAAACCCCAATCCGGATATAGCATATTCAATCATCTCACGATTAGTAATCGAGGAGTTTATGGCAGCTAAAGCATCAACCATGATCTTAATTTCCCTTAAGTATTGATTCATGGAGTGAGACTCCTTCTTTTTAATATGAGACAATAAACGCTTGAGTTCCATGGACCGGGATAGACTAGCAGACAAAAAATGTGTCTGAAGTCGTTCCCAAATCAAATAGAATAATCGAAGGTCATAGACTTCAATCAAAATATCTCTGGAGAGAGTTGCAAAAAGCCATGATCTGACAGTTTGATCAATTTTAAGCCAATGATGATATTCGGGGCTAGTGGATGCAGGTACAACAATAGAACCATCCAAAATACCAAGGAGACTATGGGACACCAAAAATGACTCAAATTGAGTCCTCCACGGGAGGTAATCCTCAACAGCATCAAGCCGAGTAGTGACAATATTTGTCACATTTGGGGTTGAAAAAGTTAACTGCGAGGCTAAGGATGACAATGAAGTGGAAGAAGCCATAAAACCTGGAAATTGAGCAGTGTAAGCGGACTGCATAGGATATGCTCTAGGCTGACCGGATAGAGTTGGACCGGAACACTGGGGCATGGCAACACCTATTTGTGGCATGAAAGCAGGTGTGGAGAGTGCTGAGCATACCAAACAAACTGTAATTCTCGAGCGGAGGGGGTGTAGCGAACAGATGGGATCGCTGACGAAGCCCAGAATCGAAGCATGAAGGCTGCTCGACATGAACAGATGCTGGCGCCATATATGTCTTGGTGATGGTGCTCGGCATGGAACCAAAAATCGGAGCAGAGACAGTCGCGGCTGGCATAGGTGCTGTGGAGGGTTGCACCGTGATAGTAGGCGCCATGGAGGCTGCGGCTGAGGTGGATGGTGCGACTGAAGTGGAGGCTGCGGCTGTGCTGGAGGCGCCTTCCATCGGTAGAGAAAATTTTAACCCTAAGCAACTGATACCATATACGAAAATATTATTTGGGAGAATAATGGCTTACCCTCTTGGGAGCCTTGAGTCTATATTTATAATATATCAATGTTTAGGAAATTACATAATAAACCCACACTAATACATTATTATTATGTGCCCAGCGGGTTTCGAACTCGATACCTCCCCCTAGGCACAGTAACCTCACAACCAGCTGAGCTGGAATGCTTGGTTGTGCTGAGATGCGTATTAATCAAACAAGTTACGTTCGAGTTACTTTTTGACTGAATTAATTGACTGAAGTTATTATAGAGTATCATTATATTTGAACTACTTCGTATTTTTTCATGTAATTCTTTGTTTGTTTCATTAATGAAATATTTTTTAATTTTTTTTCATAATTCAGCAGAAAAAACCAATCCAGCCTTTTTAGCTATAACCTCATAGATTTCAGTAGAATCAGTTGATTCAGTCAATCAATGTTATCTGACGGAGCATTGCTATATGTTGAGTAAATAAAAAAATTACTCAAGATATTTGGAAATGTTAGACCGCTAAGCCTTTTCCACCTAGGGCCTCCGAAATGCCAGAGCCGGCCCTGACTAAATTGTATGATAGTCAAAATAAATAAGGTTAAATTACTTTTCTCACTGATTTCGCTAAAATTACTGTAAAGGACCATTTTACCTATTTTCTCATATAATTTTTTCTCTAATTTCTAAACAAAATATATTTTAAATACATTTTTTCCCATAATTTAGCAGATTCAGCCAATTCGGTCATTTCAACGAGAACTTCATTAATTTCAACAAATTCAACCGATTCAGCTAATTTTAGTGTTACCAAATGAGCTCTAAGAGTCCTTCAGTAACATTGAAATTGGTTGAATTGGTTACATCCGGTGAAATTTCTAAAGGTCTAGCTAAACTCACTAGATTGGTTGAATCTGCTTAATTATGTAAAATATATATTTAAATGCTTCATATATTTTATTAATAAAATGAAGAAAAATTATATGAAAATATCTACAATAATCATCTATATTGATTTTATCCAATTCAATGAGAAAAGTACATTTAACCTTACTGATTCTAATTATTACAGTATACGAATTCAAAAGTTGTTTTGTACAAGAATGGATTGATAGCACTAATAAGTTGGAAAAGGTACAAGTGGAATACTGTTTCTATTCCAACTAGATTTTCACCCGTGCTTCGCACGAGCTATGTAACACCGTCCCCAAATGTATTTACTTTCAAGTGAATAATGTATTCAACCTTATGGAATGGTTAATGAATATACGAAGTTGTGAATTTTTATTAATTCTTTTGCGTGAATAGTAAATTCGCAC